TGGAAATGAGCCATTAGCTGACATACATGGAAATGAGTAATTAACTGTCACATATGGAAATGAGCCATTAACTGACATACATGGAAATGAGCCACTAGCTGACATACATGGAAATGAGTAATTAACTGACACACATGGAAATGAGCCATTAGCTGACATACATGGAAATGAGCCATCGGTAAACGTACACGGAAATCAGCAAATAAGTAACGAACAGTTAAAAGCAATTAAATTATTTATTTTGAAACAGAAGAATAATACCCCATCTACCTGCCCGTATCATGCGCGCGAGTGTGCGTTGTGTGTGTGTGATTGGCACCTTTCCGTCTTTCCTGATGATAGTGTTATATTGCGCCATGAGGAGGCATGAGACTCACAGCCCATGGCGATGGCGAGTGTGACTAGCAAGACCCGACCGTGTCAAGAAAAGTCTTCCACGATGATAGCATGGGATTTCAGTACCATTGTTGTCAACATTTGTGTTTAATCCGTTTCTTTTCAGAAGTTCAGCTCTTATCCTTTCTGCAATCATTTCTTCCTTCAGTCTCATTCCCTTCCTGATATGCCCTTTCCACACAACACGGTCCATGGCATTTTGTTCCCATGAGTCCACCTCAATACCTGAACCATTCATGTCCCACTTTTATACATCTTTATACCGTAGTAGAGTATCTTCTTCGACATCTTCTTCCTGTCTCTAATTCACCATAAAGGGTGTCGTAAGGGACTCTGCCATTCTCAATTCTGCAGGTGTGACCCAGCCACCTGAGCCTTAGTAGACTGAGCACGGAAAAAAATGTTGTAGTGCCCGCTCTTTCCAGTACCTCAGTGTTTGTGATTTTGTCCTGCCACTTAATGCCAAGTATTCTTCTTAGGCATCGCATGTGAAAGCTATTAAGCCGTCTCTCATGGTGCAAATAGGTTGGCCAAGTTTCACTGCCATAAAGCAGAGTGCTGAAAACACGAGCCTGATAGACAAGGGTTTTGTTTTTATTGTGAGCTTTCTGTTCTCCAAAACTCTCTTTGTTGTTGCTGCCTTACCTATCCTGATGTCGATTTTTTGGTCCAGCGATAGTTTACTATTCACTGTGGAACCCAGATAGGTAAAATGGTCTACTGTCTCAAGCTCTTCACCGTCAATATAGACTCTAGGTCTGTCATTAAAACCTTGCACCATAACCTTTGTCTTCTTTTTGTGACTGTTAGTCCAAACTCATAGCATGCATCAGCATAAAGGCAGATAGTAAACATCGCAGCTCCTCCTCTGAGTGGGTGGTTATTGCGGCATCATCTGCAAACAGCAGCTCTCTGATAAGCACCTTTCTTATCCTGGTTTTGGCCTTCAGCCTGCGAGCATTGTACCGGTTGCCGTTAGATCGAGAAGTGTGTGTGTGTGTGTGTATATATATATATATATATATATATATATATATATATATATATATATATATATATAGATATATATATATATATATATATAATCGTTTTCAAGAGCCATCGATCAGTCTAGACACTGATGAGATTATCAGCCAATCACAACTAACCAAAAACCATCGAACAAACTCCACCCAACGGCTATAAGGCATTTGAGAGCTATCCCTTCCCAAACTGAACCAGATCAAAAGTCTATCAATCAAGAGAGACAATATTTCATCGTCTGGCAGTCTATACTAAGAAAATACCCCCCCCCCCCCCCCCACCCTTTTTCCGCCGGCGTCTAATCCCTAACCGGAGGTCATACACCACCGAGGCACGGACACTATTTCTTGGGATCAAATGCTTCGTGACACCGCAGGCATTTGCTTCAGCATTGGGCAATGTTTGTTGGTACAGACTGGCTGGTGAATTGATGTGCGGATGTTGTTGTAGTGAAGTGTAAGGGGAACAGTGTCAGAACGGAATCGAGAACATCAATGCCAGTGACAATGAGCCGATAAGAGCAAACATAGACAGTTTCAAATACACGTATATATATATATATATATATATATATATATATATATATATATATATATATATATATATATATATATATATATATATATATATATATATATATATATATATATATATATATATATATATATATATATAGGAGGGTAGAAAGATTGAGACTGAATAGTATACATTCAAGGAGAAAAAAGGAAGACAGATACAGAAATAAAGAGAAAAAAAGTAGAGACAGACAGAGAGGAAGTAGAATATATAGAGGGAAGAGGCCGAGGCGTCTTGATAACGTGTCAAACAGACATGCATACATAATAGTTTCTGTGTTGTAGTTTGTTTGAGACACAGCGAGAGAGTCAGAGAGACAAACAAACAGACAGACAGACAGACTGAGAGAGAGAGAGAGAGACAGAGAGAGATAGAGAGAGAGAGAGAGAGAGAGAGAGAGAGAGATAGAGAGAGAGACAGAGAAAGAGACAAAGAGTGAAACAGAGAGAGAGAGACAGAGAGAGAAACAGAGAGAGACAGAGATAGAGAGGGAGGCACACACACACACACACAGAGAGAGAGAGAGAGAGAGAGAGAGAGAGAGAGAGAGAGAGAGAGAGAGAGAGAGCGAAATTACAGAGATATATCAAAGTGTGACTAAAGTGATTCCCGACTTAACAATGATAAATGTACTTGCTGTGACAGGCTTGGCTCGGAGTTGCCTTAAGCGTGACAACCGTATACAAGTCGCCACAAACTGTAGTTAAGGTTTTTTGCCCCCCCCCCCCCCCCCCCCAAATCCGAAACAGAAATCCCCACCACCTTACCAAGGAACGGAATCCATAACAAGAAGAAGAAAAAGAACGACAACAAGAATAAGAAGAAGAAAAAGGAAGAGGAGTAACAGAAGCAGAAGAAGAAAAAGGAGGAGGGGTAACAGAAGCAGAAGAAGAAAAAGGAAGAGGAGTAACAGAAGCAGAAGAAGAAAAAGGAGGAGGGGTAACAGAAGCAGAAGAAGAAAAAGGAGAAGGGGTAACAGAAGCAGAAGAAGAAAAAGGAGAAGGGGTAACAGAAGCAGAAGAAGAAAAAGGAGGAGGGGTAACAGAAGCAGAAGAAGAAAAAGGAGGAGGGGTAACAGAAGCAGAAGAAGAAAAAGGAGGAGGAGTAACAGAAGCAGAAGAAGAAAAAGGAGAAGGGGGTAACAGAAGCAGAGGAAGAAAAAGGAGGAGGGGTAACAGAAGCAGAAGAAGAAAAAGGAGAAGGGGTAACAGAAGCAGAAGAAGAAAAAGGAGGAGGGGTAACAGAAGCAGAAGAAGAAAAAGGAGGAGGGGCTAACAGAAGCAGAGGAAGAAAAAGGAGGAGTAACAGAAGCAGAGGAAGAAAAAGGAGGAGGAGTAACAGAAGCAGAAGAAGAAAAAGCAGGAGGGGTAACAGAAGCAGAAGAAGAAAAAGGAGGAGGGGTAACAGAAGCAGAAGAAGAAAAAGGAGGAGGGGTAACAGACGCAGAAGAAGAAAAAGGAGGAGGGGTAACAGAAGCAGAAGATGAAAAAGGAGGAGGGGAAGCAGAAAAAAAAAGGAAGAGGAAGAAATAACTGTGATGTATCAACAAGTGCTTTGTTAAGTTTAATATTTGTTTTGGATTTCTCTATGTATAGACCAAATTGAAATCTATAAACAAGATTCCACAGTGGCGATGAAATCAACGAAGCGTAGCGATCCTTCATTTGTCACGGTCTTTCCGTTTGTGGTCAGCGATCATTGATCCATGGAATCCATTACACTGTGTGCACTGATTTCTGATGGTTGGCACGCATCGATCTCTCATTCTTCTGGGCATCGTTAGCGGTATCCCGCTCGTCCTGGTTGATGACATAGTTCTGGCGTCACCTTAATTATACCCAGGATTACCTTCATTACTACCATCATCGGTGTTAGTAGTAATATCAGCATCATCAATATCATCATCACCGTTATCATTCTCATCATGTCCACTCCATTATCAATATCATCATCACCATCACCATCCTTATCATTTCCAATACACTATCAACATCACCATCATTATCCTCGTCCTCATCATCAACGTCGTCACCATCAAACACATTATTACCACCAAGGTCACTTTCACCATGAATTAACAAACAAATGTGCAAAAGTAATTAGCAAGGTCTGGACAAGGGAAAACAACCAGCAAATGTTTCGACCAAGTCTTTATCAATGACTACTAAATTAAACGCACACACGAAACAAAAACCATTCTAATCTCTGTGAAAAACAGAGAAACAACAATTTATTGGTTGTCCTAAGCGTGCCCAAACAATAGCGACACCCAAACAATGGCGACAGTCTCTACAGCAAAAACGATATTACTCACCATAAGAAATTAGGGTTTATTGGAAAACAGATCCAAGACTCTTGGACATAAGTATCCACACATGACCCAGTACTGGTGGACTCAAGCGTCCATAAATGATCCACTACTGGTGGACACAAGCGTCCATACAAGATCCAGTACTGGTGGACACAAGTATCAGCACATGATCCAGTACTGGTGGACACAAGTATCAGCAAATGATCCAGTACTGGTGGACACAAGTATCAGTAAATAATCCAGTAATGGTGGACACAAGTATCCACACATGACCCACTACTGGTGGACACAAGTATCAGTAAATAATCCAGTACTGGTGAACACAAGTGTCCACACATGACCCACTACTGGTGGACACAAGTATCAGCACATAATCCAGTACTGGTGGACACAAGTAACTACACATGACCCACTACTGGTGGACACAAGTATCCATATAAGATCCAGTACTGGTGGACACAAGTATCCATACGAGATCCAGTACTGGTGGACACAAGTATCCACAAAAGATCCACTACTGGTAAACACAAGTATACACAAATTATCCAGTAGTGGTGAACACAAAAATCCACACATGATCCACTACTGGTGGACACAAATATCTACACAAGATCCAGTACTCGTGGACACAAGTATCCACACATGATCTTGCTGGTGGACACACAAGCAACACTCAGACACAACATGTACTCACGTAGGAGGAGTTCCTACAGGCTTCATGTTATCCGCAGCACCAGATCCTGACCACAGAAAACAATAGTTACAAAAACTTAAGTCGCTCCGCATCTACGTGGTTCAAACTGATATTCACTTCTGCTCCTCAATCAACTCTTTTGCCGCAGCCACCAAAGTCACCAGCTTGTTCTGTTACTCCACATAACCCTTCACCTTCTCTTCTTTTATTCTGCGGCTTTTTCTTCCTCTTCTTCTCTGCGAACCTTATAAGTGTTCGATTCATCCCCTCCTTTTCCTCTTCCTCGCCCTCCCAGCTTCTTCAGCATCTTCGCCCTTGTGTGATTCCAGAGTCTGTCAACTCCAATAAACATAGTAAAGAGCCCTTTTTTCATTCCTTCAAGAAGAAGAAGAAGAAGAAGAAGAAGAAGAAGAAGAAGAAGAAGAAGAAGAAGAAGAAAGAAAGAAAGAAAGAAAGAAAGAAAGAAAGAAAGAAAGAAAGAAAGAAAGAAAGAAAGAAAGAAAGAAAGAAAGAAAGAAAGAAAGAAAGAAAGAAAGAAAGAAAGAAAGAAAGAAAGAAAGAAAGAAAGAAAGAAAGAAAGAAAGAAAGAAAGAAAGAAAGAAAGAAAGAAAGAAAGAAAAAAAGAAAGAAAGAAAGAAGTTGAAGAAGAAGAAGAAGAAGAAAAAGAAGAAGAAGAAGAAGAAGAAGAAGAAGAAGAAGAAGAAGAAGAAGAAGAAGAAGAAGAAGAAGAAGAAGAAGAAGAAGAAGAAGAAGAAGAAGAAGAAGAAGGAGGAGGAGGAGGAGGTCTGTCCGTCTATATCTCTTTCTATGTCACCAAATGGAAAAAACACAACAGGTTTCCTTTTAATTTAACAGACAATCCCCCCCCCCCCCCCCCCCCCCACACAAATCCTATCACCATGACTATTATATGTCAACCAACAAGCCAGTGAGTGTCGACACAGCCCAACATTGCCAGACTATCGCCAGCTTGTATGACAACACAGTCCGCAGAGTGACAGTCAGTCACTGTCCCCTTATGGGCCAGTGGCACGTCGGGTATATGATGCTAAACCCAAACGTTTACACACGAAACAGCATTCGGTGGCTCATACGGTCAACATCCCACTGGTCGCCTTTACTTCCCACAGACATTACCTGGTATCCTTTTAGGTTGGGTGGACCTGAGTTTTTACAATAAACGCACCTACATAAATAATAAATGCCCCACCACACAGACAAACACACACAAACACACACTCGCGCGCGCGCGTGCGAGACTTACCTATAGACTTTGAGCGTACACTCTTGATGCCTGTGGGGAGCAGACATTAATCATGTTTTAACTGTTGTTGTCACTGTAAGCGGTCACAGAGAACGTTATTACTGTTGTTGTCACTGTAAGCGGTCACAGAAAACGTTATTACTGTTGTTGTCACTGTAAGCGGTCACAGAAAACGTTATTACTGTTGTTGTCACTGGAAGCGGTCACAGAGAACGTTATTACTGTTGTTGTCACTGTAAGCGGTCACAGAAAACGTTATTACTGTTGTTGTCACTGTAAGCGGACAAAGAGAACGTTATTACTGTTGCTGTCACTGTAAGCGGTCACAGAAAACGTTATTACTGTTGTTGTCACTGTAAGCGGTCACGGAGCATGTTATTACTGTTGTTGCCACTGGAAGCGGCCACGGAGAATGTTATTATTGTTGTTGTCACCGGAAGAGGTCACAGAGAATGTTATTACTGTTGTTGTCACTTGAAGCAGTCACAGAGAAAGTGAAGAAAAAGAATGCAGTCAAATACAATGCGGAGAGACACAACAATGGCGTGATAGTCAGGTACATTATGATACTGTTAGCAGCTTTGTGTCTTTCCAGGTGACAAGTATACATACGGCTAAGCGCCCGCAAGCAAATCAAACAGCATGCATAGTTCCTGTAGTAACACAGGGATGCAATTTGTAGATTATCTCGCATCCGCTGTGTCAGTTACCTCACACATCCATGTTTCCATTAGATCGATTATCACCTCCACCTCACAACGATGTATCCATTGGGTCAATTATGCCTCACTACAGTCTATCCATTAGGTCAGTCAGTATAAAGAACGGTGTTGACATGGCCTGACCTCTGTTCCCGCAGTGTGCCCGATGATCAGCTCAAGTCCAGGCTCCAGTATCCTCCTTTTCTAGGTGATCCAGTGTTCCTAGGGTTGCCTGTCCCCCACCATCTCGTGCCCTATATCTAAAAAAAAAAAACTATCTCCTCTAATCAAGACCTGCACATGTTCATCTTCAATCGCACTTTTCATCCATCCGCCAACCTTTCGTTTTACAAAAGCAAAACCCATGCTTCCGAGCAGAAGCCACATTTCTACGACACAAACTTGCCAACTCTTTGAGCAAATGAAATCACTAGCTAAACGCCATACACTCAACAGAGAAGCTCTGTTCAACTCAAGAGATCCAAATACTAAACCTGATTAGGGGCTAAGGCGGTCAGAAGTGGCGGCCAAGCAT